CAGAACCAAAAATCCTGAGATGGTAGCAAAAAGTAGCAGACTCATAAAGTTAAGATCTTCAAAATGTGGACTTGTGAAGCCAGTAGATAAATTCCTTTAAGAGAACCAGGGGAACTCTTCCTTTCTGTCCTACTTCCCTCTCTAAAGGGAATCAATTAATATAACAGAGACTGTAATAAACCGTAACTGTGAGTAGAACAGCTTTTAAAAAAAGCCTCGTGAGAGGGGAAAAGGAGACCTAAGTAATACTTTCAATAATAAAGAATGAAAAAACAAAAGATAAGCCCTAACCAGTTTGGCTCGGTGGATAGAGTGTTGGCCTGCGGACTGAAGAGTCCCAGGTTCGATTCCAGTCAAGGGCATGTACCTTTGTTGCGGGCATATCCCCAGTAGGGGGTGTCCTAGAGGCAGCTGGTTGATGTTTCTCTCTCATCGATGTTTCTAACTCTCTATCCTTCTCCCCTCCTCTCTGTAAAAATCAATAAAATATATTAAAAACAAAACAAAAGATAAGCCTCTTGAGTCCTAGCAAACCACAGAGACTAAGGGGGTTCAGGCCCCAACACATTCACTGAAAGAAGAGTCAATAAAGCAAGAAGTCTAAATACACACAGAAGCATTTCTATAATGATAGTTATATCATGCCAATCTCAGCATATTTCAACCACACCTGAAAAAACATTTGAAAATAATGCTTATGGATGTATTTGACGAATCGATCACACTTCGATTGTGTTACAGCATACAATGGACTGATTATCAGAACGTCAAAGCCAAACTTACCAATAGGGACAAATGGTGCCTCTTTAGCTTTTCGGATAAATTTAGATCCCTGACCTTCATCATATGAAGAAAGCGAAACATCTGTGTTGGATGACATACTGATTGAAGAATCTTTCTGAAAGAGAATTTCCATGAGATTCTGCAATTAAAAGCAACTAGAACATTAAGTGACAGGATGTACTTAATCCTAGTTTCCATAAAAATCTGGTATATCCATGAACTCTAAAAAGCATTTTAGAAGTTTCTCCATACACCAGTTCCTTTTTAGCATGTCACTGTTCATAACAATGCATTTTTAAGTAAGTTTTGTCAATTAAAATAGTAGCTATTAATTTTCTGACTATCTTCATCCTTCTTAAAAATTTTTATTTTCTTCATCCTTAATCAATTCAACTTGACAACTTTAAATTATTCAAACCAAACTGATACTCCTTATTGCCTCTTCAATATCATGGTGAAAATATTACTAAGCACTTTTAAGTGTAGTTGAGTGTAGTCTTTATTGCTTTCAATCACAACTGGCTGACTTATTCCAACATGTTACCCGGCTTCAGTTCTCGCCTCTGAATAGTTTCTAACCGATTACACTGATCTTTATTATTGATGGTGGCTGTCTGTGGGGAAGATTACAGTTATTCTGATTAGCCAAAATTTCTAGACTCATTGTTTACATCTTTTAAGGACAAAGCTTTTATTTTAATATTATTGCTAGAAATGTCTCCTTTTAAACATAACTATGTTCAATTGAACTAATAGATTTTTATAACTTAGGGTTATAATTTTTTAAAATAATACTGCAGCATAAAATCAAACTATACTCTTTTATAATAAAAGAATATCTCTCAAGCTTTAGCTGTCTTTCCTACATACCTTATATTCCCTGGGCTTCTTAAAATTCTCTTTTATATTATTATTCTTTTAAATAATATCAAAAAAGGCAAGATATTGGCCTGACCATTATACGAATAAGAAAGATTATTTTCAATTATCACAAGGACTAAAGGCTCCATTCTCCCATTTCAATCACCTTTCTTTACATAGGAAGTTAGCAGGTGTTTCATCACAATGAGGTAATAAATTCAGTTTCACCTTAGTCACAGTAACTGTACACACTTCCTTCTTCACCAATCTGATTTGAACTGCCTATAAACTTTACCCATAGATAAAATAAGGGAGTCAAACATAGTATATATGTGCACAAGTCTCTGATTGGTGTCAATTACAATAAAGTCAAAAGTCAACTACCCATGTGAAATCTTACCTTCACTTCTGGGCGTTTCCTGTGCATTATACTCCCTTCCATGACAATAGCCCTCATTCAACAGTTTGCTCTTCAAGGGTTGTTAGAGTGGCTAAGGCCCTCAAAGAAAACCCAACTTTACTACTTAGTTTGAAAAGTGACATCATCCCTCCAAGCCCCATCTCCATGGGAAGAGCTGATTCTGACATCTGACAGAAAAGACAACCTTAATCCAGAGGAGTTACGCAATATCAGAGTGAGATGAAAGAAAACTCAGATTGCAACTAGACTTTCTTTTGTACTCCGTTACCTGCTAATTGACTAAACCCCTGCTTACTGAGCTTTTTATTACTATATACAAGGTTCAACAAGCTCAAGGTTCAGGACGCTCACTATATTATCTGAAGAGATAACATAAACACAGAAATGATTCGTGGTTCAAAAATTAGATTTTAAAAAAAGGATATGACAATGTGATTACTTGTCAATAGCATAACAGAGACAACGAGAAATGAATTTACAGTGTGATGTCTTTTAGCTAAAGTAGGTTTGGGAAGTTTCACAGAGAAATATTTGAGGATGGCCTTCAAGAACCTACATAAATGGACTAGATAAAAAATAAACACTGTATTTACTTTAGGCTACTATGTCTATTAGTTGCCTTCATAACTAATCATGAACTTCTCAATGCATAACTATTAAACATCTTATAGATGATCTATACATCCAGCCTTTCAGAAGCTGACTCCTCTAACACTTTTCCCTTTTCATCTCCTTCATAGCGGACACCTCCCATTTTCCAGCTTCTTACCTTAACTGACCTCTAAAAAGTCCTCTAAAGGTGTTTTGGTTATGCAGTCTCATCAAATGCTATGTTTTCTCTATCATAACTCTTTCTTATAAATGCCTATTTAACTGCTTTTTTTGCTAGAATCCTTGAAGTCAGGAGGCCACACCTGTCCTGCTTATATCTATTTCCATTGCCTGGCACAATGCTTTGCATGTAGGAAGCACACCACAAAATGTTGAATACATTTAAAGGTAATATATTTCAACAATTAAAATTATTCTCAGGTTTAATCAGTTGGTAAGAAGAATGCTGAACCATATATACCTTAAGTGTTTATTTGTATTTTAATTCTTATATTTTATCTATGAAAGGAAAAAAATGGTTAACCTCAGTAGGTCTTGGCTTCTTGCAATCACAAGAGACAAAACTATTATATACCACAATCTACTTTTAAAATCTAGCACCTTCTTTTGCAGCTATAAAAGCATGTTTTCTTCCTTTGCCTTAATTATTCCTAAACTAAGAAGTCATTTGGGAATTGTCTTTAAAAGCAAGAAAGTAGGCCCGGATGGCATGGCTCAGTGGTTGAGCGGACCTATGAACCAGGAAGTCATGGTTTGAGTCCCTGTCAGGGCACATGTTGGGGTTTGGGGCTTGATCCCCAGTGTGGGACATGCAGGAGGCAGCCAATCAATGATTCCCTCTCATCACTGATGTTTCTATCTCCCCCTCTCCCTTCTCTAAAATCAATAAAAATATATATATTTTTTAAAGAGCAAGAAAGTAGGTAGTTTTTGCTCTACATTCTCACATCTGGATCACTAATTGTCCACAGGCAATGGAGCAAAAGCCTCCCTCCTCACTCTCCCCCTCCCCCCAACCTCCATCCTTTCAGGAGGGAGAGGGCTGAGGGCTGGCTGTCTCCCTCCTGCATATATAAAAGAACAGAAGAAAATCCACTGACTTCCATTCCTCACCTATGATACAGACTCTGAAGTTTGTGTGGGAAGGATATTTCATCTGGCTTTCAGAAAGTAGTCCCTGGGTAAGAATCATATGGTCATTATTTGCTTTAAGTGACTAGATAATCTGTCTGATCCAGGATACTTTGTGTGAACATTTCAGGATAATATTAACAGAAACATTAAAAATCCAACACTTAAATTATATTTTATACTGTCTTATAAATTCTGTGTTATATTTATAACACTCTGAATATAAGATTTTTATAATTCTTTCTAATTACCACCTAGAAGTTTCCCAAGTATTCATGATTTACAGCCACCTAAACTGAACATTGTTAACATTTACCAGGGTCAATAACTATAAATCATATAATTTGAAAATAACAACTCATGATGAATGCGAACAGCCTTATTTTACAGATGGAAAAGGGGTTAGGAAGGCTTATAGGAACTGCTCAACAACAGGCATACATTTCTGGCAGGGTGGGACTAGAACCAAGCTCTCCTGACAGAGTCCAGGGTTCCTGTGATTGACAATATATTGCCAAACCACTCATCTTATGATGCTGGTATATTTTAATCTGGAAAAATACTGAAATCCATTCCATAACAGAAGTCTGCATCTCTTTCCTTGAAATATATAT